TGAATTACTTGTTGGGCCTTACCTTACCTGACTGCTGAACAGAGCCTGGCATGAAATGGACTGTTAGCCAGAGTCCCGGACAGGAGTATATTTCCATATCACGGTGACATCTGTGTGGGGTTTGTACCCTACTTTAAAATAGTTCCTTTTTTTTTTTTTATTTTTTATTTTTTCCAAGTTTCTGCCATCCTCTACAACTCAGGCTGAAGATGGGCACATTTAGGTACCTGGTTCTTGGGAATGTGAAAAATGAACAGCCAAAACATCTGTTACTCACTTTTCACACCCTCCTTAAGTATGTGCAGATTTTCTGTGAAGCTGTGCACTCAGGGAACTCTCCAAAGCTTTGGAGGAGGTGCTCTGCTGCTGTCTGTGGCATGTTATGAATGAAACCTTTGAAAGCCAACCTCTCTCCCTACTTAATTTCCTGTAAAGAGAAAAAAGTAACACTGTGAAACAGCTTCAGAGCAAAAGCTGTACATTACATTGCAGAAGTCCATCTGTATCAGGCAATTGTGCTCAGAGCATGGCATCCATCAGCTTCCCCTGGCATGCTGTCACAGACCTTTTCCTCCAAAGCTATGAGCCTGTAGCCAGGGGAAAAAAAGAGAACTAAGTCAGAGCAGCTCCTTCTGCATTCAGCTCTCAGTAATATGAATGCCTTGAATGATGAAGTTGACAATGGCTTCTTATTCTCTCCTCTGCCGTACTTTGCCCAATCCAAGTTGAGGTACCACTCCCATATGGCAAGGGTGGAGACAGGAGGAAACTGTCTGTATTTAACAACAGCTGCAGCACCTTGCTGTGGCACTGAAATCCTTGTGTTTCTCACCCCGTGTGTAAACTATCTAGCAAAGAGTATTAGTGCAGGACAGCATTTTCTCTCCTTACAAGACACGTGCCTGATACTGCATCAGATACCCTTCTCCAGAGGCTGTCCTGCCTCTGAAAGCTGTCTCTCTCCCAGCTGGATTCTGCTGGAGATGTGTGCTGTAATTGCTGTAACCTCAAGCATTTTCTCTTGCATATCTTAGTTCTTCTCGCTCAATCCATGTAGGGTATCACCTCAAACAGTGAACTCTCCAGCTGTGTGTTTGCTGAGCTGACAGAGAGTGGGATGACTGAAAAATATTGCCAGGAAGAGAGGTGGTATATTTCAGTCCCCCTCCCTTCCCAGTTCATGACGAGACTCATCCAACAAACCAGAATTGGGGGGGGAAATAAGTGTATTAAAATATTCACAAGATTACAACAGAAAATGTGAAAGTCCATTCAAGAAAAAATATCCAGGATAACTTTCCAGATGAGTCTGTAAAAGCAAAAGCACTAACCGTTGATACACAGGATCTTCACGTAGTCAGGCCATGCAATGCATATCTAGCTCCCTCACACAGATTATACACCTGTCTTACAGGTGTTTGTTCTCCCACATACCTCCAAATGGAGGGTTATGAAAAGTATCCAGTCTATATTCCCAATTATATTTACCGCATAAAAAGAGCTGCCATTGTAGGGAGACAGAAAAGATTGCACAGCACACTGATCTCAAGAGGCATTGAACTTGATTTTAGAGTGCAAAAACACCTTTAAATGAAGGGTTTAGTAGCCTTAGGGCAGTGAAGAACAGGGAAAGAGAAGCCTCAGAAGAGTACAAGTCCTGAGCATCTTTACATGATTTTGTAGTTTGTTACCTAAATATTAGCACCACAGGCCAATGGCCACTGCCCAGAAGTCTTACCCACCTTTTCGGCTTTGATAGTTTTAAAAAGAAAATAATCTCATCACTTTTGTAGTGTCAGAACAATTTGCATTTGAAGTCCTAGGTAGATATATTATTAATGTAAAATCCAAGACAAAATTTTAAAACAGACTGAAAGTATTTTGGTCATAATTCAAATGGCCTGCATTTTACCTCAAAGAATCCACTCTACAGCAACGCAGCTTACAAGCTGCATGTATACATTTACTTCAGTTACCAGATGGTTACCTGAGCAGTTCTCACAGGTTTAAAAAAGCTGAAAACTTATTTCCAGCTCATTTTCTCACGAACTGAAATAGTGCCAAAGCTTAAAAAAAAAAATAAAAATAAAAATAAAAAAATCCAAAAACAAAAACCAATGCAGGTGTCCAGTTATTATCATGTAGTTAAGTATAAGGATATATTTGCCAACCTATAGTGGCTCTTTAATGAACACGTGTAATGTGTGATTTAGTGCCATCTAATGAACACACTGATGATCTCCCTCACAGAACAACTGCTGAAGACAAAAAAGGCAATGGAAATTTGTTGTACTGAGTATAGCTACTGATTTACTAACGTCAATATAGTTACGCCTAATACCCTTCAAAATCTATTTCTACTGATCAGTAATAAAGAAGAATATATCCACTGTTAGTAGAGACAAAACTCTTCAATTTGCAGCTCTGTTCAGAAGAGGGGATGACAAAGATGTGTGATACCATTCATATTCTTGTCTCTAGGGGGTGCAAGCTGGCTCAGCAGCCAGAGCCCAAGCTGGCACTCCCAAACTGTATTCCTATAATGCATACAAGGTCACTTTTACATGTAAAAGCCTATTTTTTTCCTCCTCACAGCAGAGAATTCATTGTAAATCTTTTACATCATGCAGACCTTCCTCAGCTCCATCACCCATGAGTGCTAGCTCACCTAACAGTCATTTGCTACTGCCTCAAGATTCTTGTCAGTTCTTCAGCTGGGCTGCAGCAAGACCAAAAAAAGAGCTAGCAGTGGTACTGACACTGGTTAAGGACAATACACTTCATTTTCCTAAAAGCACATGCTGTTCTTTTCCACCTGCAAAAGAGCATCAAAGAATTAAGAAAAGAGCAGTAGAGGACACCTGACTGAATTTCTGTCACCATAACATCACAATCTGATGACTCTGTCTGACTTCAATCTCTGCTTGCTAGCCATCAAGGAAATTAGAAGTCATCTGTCACTTGAGATGATGTCACTAAATAAACCAACTAACATCAGTCCCTTTCATCAGCACAGACTATTATATCCAAATAAATAAGCTAACACACTGAGTGCCCAAAAGTTCACAGTAGTTCTGTTCCATGCTGCCTCAAGTTCATAATGTCATAGAATGGCTTGAGTTAGAAGGCAGTTTAAAAACCACCCAGTTCCACCTGTCTGCCATGGGCAGGGCTGCCAACCACACCTCAGACTGCCCAGGGCCCATCCAACCCAGCCTTGAGCACCTCCAGGGATGGGGCATCCACAGCTTCTCTGGGCAGCTGTGCCTCTGCCTCACTATCCTCTGAGTGAAGAATTTTCTCCTACCATCTAACTTAAATTTCCCCATTATGGAAAGTCTCCAGAACTCACAGTACTCAAAAGGAGCTTACAGTACTCAGAAGGAGCTTATAACCAGGAGATAGACTGACTTTTTACACAGGCTGATGGTCTGATGGTGATAGGACAAGAAGGAATGGTTTTAAACTAAAAGAGGGGAGATATAGATTAGATATTAAGAGAAAAATCTTTACTCTGAGGATGGTAAAGCACTGGAATAGGCAGCCCAGAGAACTGTCTATCACACTTGAGACTGATTTCTACTATTCCTATGGGGAAGAGAGCTTGTTTCTTTCCTAAAAACAAAACAAAACAAAACAAAACAAAAAAACAAACAAACAAAAAAAACACTTTAATATGCCTTCACACACAAGGCTGTCTGAACCCAAGCAGCCTTGCAACGAGAATTCTCTCTTTAGGTACATACCTGTACCTAAAGAAAACCAATGAAATTACACATTTCCTATAGTTAGCACCAGAAGTAGCAGGATTATACTCAGATTCTTCAGTAGAGCCCAGCAGAAAAACAATCAAACAACAACAAAAAGCCCCACAAAAACAGTGACTTCAGAGCAAAAGACAGACAGTCCTATTTTCTTGTAGCACCAAGTGTTTGATAGTTAAATTCATCACATTTCTCCCTTTTACTCTAAAATGTCTAGGGAGAAAGGTGGTAATGCACAGCGATGAGCATAGGCAGATTAAAACAAAGGTTTTCCATCGAGCTCCTGTTTCTTGCTAAGTGTAAAACAAATATTTGGAAGAAACAGCCCAGATAGGGAAAGCAGCAGAAGGATTCACTGCAACTTTAGCAGCACTTCTAACAGAAGCAAGAGTTGTTAGGCAACCAGTCAAGCATGATCCTGATGAAAGAATATAAAGTTTGCAAACCCAACTTTGTTGAGAAAAAAGAATGAAGAAAAAGCCAGACTCTTCTCAGTAGTACTCATGGACAGAACAAGAGGCAATGGTCAAAAGTTAAAAATCAGGGAGTTCTACCTGAACGCATGGAAACATTTCTTTTACTCTGAGTGTCCAAACAGTGGGATAAGTTGCCCAAAGAGATAGTTTCCATCTGTGAAGATACTAAAAATGCAATTGGACACAGTCCTGGCCAACCTACTCTAGCTAAACCCAACCTGGGTTTAAACAGATAATTTCTGGAGATCCTCTCCAACCTCAACCATTCTGTAAATGATTCTGTGAAATAAACCAAATTAGGAAATAGGTAAGAATCTAAGAAGTTATGGTAGATCAAACTGAAAATGAACTGCTGTTAGAGAAAAGTTAACACCACATAAGGATGTACAGAACAGAAATCCTACTTACTATATGCTACTGTGAAAAGACCTCAGCTGGAGTGCCACCTCTAGTTCAGAACACCAGATTTCTGGGTGCAGATGGGACTGCTAAAGAAAGATCCTCTTCAGCAGAAAAGAACAATCAGGGATCCCTAACAAGTTATGAGGAGTATCATCTACAAACAAGAAGCTGGGAAATTAGATTAATCAAGTAGTAGACTTGTAGAAAAGAAGGAAATAAACTGCCCTCCACATCTGTCTGTGCAAATAAAGATTATAAAATTAAAAAAAAAAAAAAAAAAAAAAAAAAAAAAAAAAAAAAAAAAAAAAAAAAAAAACCCCCCCGTAATTAAAAACCCAAAGGGGGGAAAAAAAAAAAAAAAAAAAAAAGTGAAGCTCTAGATTTCTTCCAGAGGTTATTCAGCCTTCATTAAAGGCTTTTGAGAACAGAGAAAGCATCTCTTCAGAAATGGCAGAGGTATAGTGGAGCCATGAGGGAGAGGCAAGGGAATATCAGAACTTCCAAATCCCTTGGAGCCTTTTTTTGTGCTTATATGAAGTGTCATTTTTGAGAAAGAAACACTTCATTGCCTCAGACTTTCAGTGAACTTTTCAGCCACCTAGAGCTACAGCTTCCTATCTCTTTAACTCACTAGCTCTTCAATTTTCACAGATAAACTAAAATTTCACAGAATTCATTAGGTCAATACTATCCCTGTACCTTAAAGGACTAAGCTTGCATATACAGGCTTAATATAGAAGTAAACAATTCGGTGAAGTGTGTTAGACAAGTCAGGCAGATCTGAACATTTTCTTCACTTGCAGAGGTAAGACATCTATTTCTGATAGCTAGGAGTCACAATTCTGCTTACAAGACCAAATGAGAATGTCTACCTCATAGGAGAAGGCAGCTTTTGTACTGACAACCTGACCGAGAAAACATGAATACCCTGTGAAAGTTACCTTTTTTGTATTCACCTCAACAACAACAAAAGAAATTAGGCCCTATAAACAAAAAAAAAATCTCCAAGTCAATCTAGAATCCTCAGGCATCTTCCAGTTTCTCCATTGATACAATAAAAAATATTATTAAATTGCGATGTGAGTTTGCACTTTCTCTCTCATCATACAAGATACAAAAAGAATATTGGCAATTTATAAGCAGAATTCTTAGCGCATTTCAACATGCAACATTGGTCTCACTTCTCTACGATTAAATAGACTATTTACACACAATACATATATATCTTTCCCTCTGTATGCACATGCATTGGTCCTAGCCTAGGCATCAAAGGCCACATGTGAGTTCTCTGGGTCAAATTTTGTTTAAGCAATTCCAGTCTGAAAGAGTGTTTTGCTATAGACAGGTTAGGATCACATCTCAGTTCTTCCGAATGTCAGCATAGACCACAGACTCTGACTTGTTAATCTTGTTGCTGTGCTGTCCTCCGGAGTGATCTAGCTGCGCGTAAATGACTGGGCCCTGCAAAGAGAATAAAAAACACAGTCAGTATTCAGAATAGGTCATATTGTCCCTCCCTTCAGCAGGGGCTACAGCAAGACCACACAGCTTTTATGACTGTTTGCGACACTTTGAAGCAAGTGGAATGAGCCCTCATCTATAAATGAGCCTCTAGTCTGCCACCTTTATCATACCAGGAGTATGTAAAAAATTTCCTCTCTTTAATACTGTTAAGGCTGCTTGCTTTCTCAAAGAAAAGCTAAATCTAGAATCATCTGTTCTGAAAAGCAGCAATTTTTAGATGTTGTAGAGAGAAGAAACATACTTGGCTTAGTCAGATGTACGCCAATGCAATATTTTACAGGAGAAACTATGCTACAGAGTTACCAGTAGATAACCCAGTGTACTAAATGCACTGACATGTCCTGTAAATCTCAGCACAGCTGTACCAGTCAGATAACTAAGGAGAGAACAAACCTGCAGCCTCCTCAGGACATCACAGTCACTGGCCAAGCAAACGATGGGATCAAGGTTTACACAGCAGCGAGCCAGGAAATACTAAAATGGTTCAGTAATGCAAAATTCTTACCTCGCTTTCAAACCAACCTAGCTCAGAGTTTTAAAAAAGGAATTGAATCCTTGGTCAGTTAGGCCACCAAGGTTCCCTTTGCTACAAACCAACCCAAGGCGTGGTGCAGACCCACAAACAAGAGAACTACTTAAGACCATAATTCCAGAAGGGCATAAAATAATAGGAAGCATCCAAAGGAGGGCTCTGAAGATTGGGCAGGGTCTGGAGGGCAAGGTGTGTGAGGAACAGCTGAAGTCCCCTGGTTGGTTCAGCACAGAGCAGAGAAGCTGAGGGGAGGCCTGATGGCGGCTGCAACCCCTCATAGGCAGCAGAAGGGCGGCACTGAGCTCTGCTCTGTGTGACAGAGACATGGCACAAGGGAACAGCACGGAGCTGTGCCAGGGGAGGGCAGCTTGGGGTTAGGGATGGGTGCTGCTACCAGAGGGCGGTGGGCACTGAACGGGCTGCCCTGGGCTGTGGGCACGGCCAAAAGTGCTGGAGTTCAAGAAGCATCTGGATAACATTCTTGGACACAGGGTTTGAATTTTGAGTGGTGCTGTGTGGAGCCCGGAGCTGGAGTTGATGATCCTTGTAGGTCCTCTCCAGCTTGGGATACTGAGTGATCCTACACACATCTGGTATGCTTGGTACCTTCTTGTGCCAGTCTGCTCAGCATGACCCAGCACTGACAGTTATTGCCAGGCTTTCCCTACAAAAGACTGAAACACAGCCACACACCTTTGTTCTATTTGCTGGAGTGGAGGACATTAAAGTATCGTCTTTCAGGAGAGCATGCAAACACACAGCCCTTTCCTAAAGGGCATCATCCAAAACACAGCCACAGGAAAGCAAGCTGTAGCTATTCCAGATGAGCCAAGGACAGGACCGTGACCTGGAATGCCTGACAAGGTAAAGATGGGAGCTCTATGAAAGCTCTGACCTGCAGCTCCCATTCTGCATACCACAACTGAAATAAACACAGAGCAGAAGGCTGTGACTGCCTGCCAGGTGATCTAAGAGGAGAGACCACATACAAACATTACCCGCACAGGACAGAAAAGGACTGTTTTGTTGGGCAGACGGAAGAGGGCAAAAATTACAAGGATGGATCTTTCTGTTTGATTCAGGGTCTTCTAGCTATTTTTGCCTCAAAATGATTTCATTCATTTAACTCCATTTCTGTTTTCCTTAGTTTCAAGAGAGAATAAGCTTTCACAGATATTTCTCCCAGTCGCCACTCTCCAATTCCATTTATCTTCCAAAGTAAGTAGGGGCCAAAGATGAGAAGATACCTTCTATTCAGAAAACAAAATCCTTGAAGGATCACTTCTGCACAGCTGTTTTCCTTCCAACACAATGACAAAGCATGCACCTGCTAAATGCCTTGTTCTCTTTCAGAAGAATACAAACAAAATGTCTTCCTTCTAGGTAAAGCAATTCCCAAGTTACAAAGAAAATATTAGAGAAAGGGGGAGAAAGAAGGAAGAATATTTGTAAGTAGATATAAAATGCTGAATATAAATAAAAGATTAAATAAATGATATAAAAAAGATATGGATGTCTTAAGAAAGATGAATTTTAGAGTTTGGTTAGAACAACATGGGGTTTTTTTTCAGCACTATTGGCTCTCACATTGTTCTGGTCTCTGAAACTATATTTGGATTATGTTATTAACTCCAATTAAAGCTTGTTGCCTATAAAAATGTTAAGGAAAAGTGAGCCTAAGGTGTATTTGTAAGCAATTTAGGAATTCTCACCTGCCTGAAGTCATAGTTTAAGGAAATGGTAAATTACACTCTATGGCACCTTGTATGAGTTAAAAAAAAACTACAACTGCATAAAGTACTCAGTGTGACATCTCAAGTTTGCTCAAAAAATCCTGATGGGTCAGTTTTCTACCGCAGGAGTTCACTTTGGATCAGTTATCTTACCACCACTATTATTTTATGCCAGGTTAAATATAATTACCCTGCTCCAACCAGAATGTCAGATGATGATGATGATGAAGCTGACTGGTGTGGTCACCTGATCCAAATCAAACTGTTGTCTAGATATATTCACCATCACCTAAATAAATGGAATATTAACTAAAACAGAAAAGAAGGAGCAAGGATTTATTACAATGCTCCACCTATTTGATTTGTTGCCAGCTGATTTTCTAGTCTAATTCAATGTGCTCCACATGTCTCTCGCGTGTCTGCTCAGTACCGCCTCACTGAAAAGTAGCAGCTGAAAAGTAACCAGTTTCACTAGCATACTTCAGAAACTATTGCAACAAGCTTCTGGAGCTCCATCAGGGAAAAGCTAACATGGTGCTTTCACCTTTCATTGCACCAGAAAATGCCTCCCTAACATAAGGAGAGAGAAGAGAAAAAAAAAGATCAGTCACAAAATATGGGCAGTCCTTGGTAGGAAAATGCAAGGGCTGATGATCACTAGCAAACTTTTAAAGGACACTAAGTATGCAGGAAAATCTATGGGAACCACGTCGGAGTTAGCATATTTTCACACCATACACATCTGCTTTTCAGTTTACTTGCTGCAACCCAGATTACTAGCTCAACAAGGACATCCATCCAAAAAATTCATTTAGTTCCTGTCCTCACCAGAAATGCTTTCCTACTTCATCCAAATAACAGTCATGATAGAGTATGAGTCACTGCAGAAGATGGCATGGCAAAGAAACACTGTACACAAATTTGACAGGACAGAACATACCTACTGAGAAGGAAGAAACGGTGAAAACAAGTGGAATTGAGTCAATCAAATGAACATTAACAAAACAAGACAAGTTTTATCTAGATTTTAAAGGCAGGCTCTTATTAACCACTCCAGTCCATTCCAGTCAAAATCTGAACCATTTTTAAACCTTGATTACTTGATTATATTGCCTTCAGGTTCAGAGATTCACTGTTCTCTAAAGTCATTATGTTTGCATAAAAAAACTCTGTGTTCTGGAAGTACTGCACCTGTCAAGAATACAAAATGCACTTCACAAACAGACTGTAAGGCCAACAGAGTGGAGATCTTCCCCTTATCCAGCTCACTTAGCACTGTATTTTTCCCCCTGTAGTATTAACACACATCTCTGTTACTTTGTCAAGAAATTTGGTGTCACCACTGATTTTAAAATTTCTCAAAGTCCACACACTACCCTGTAGACACGTGCTGCAAGATGACATTAAGAAAAAGCCCCTTTTTGACTTAAAATCATGCAGGATCTGTATCGCATGGGAAAATTGCTGAACATACACAAGAGGTAAGAAATGGCTTGCAAATAGGAAAATCCTGTAAAGAGATAATCATATATTGCATTGAAGCCCTGTTTGATGCGTGCCCTCCCCCTTCTGACTGCTTTCTGACAGGATGTTTAGCCTGAGTAAGAGCCACCTCCTTTCCTTCAAAATCAGTGGGAACACAGAAAAATCAGCCTTTACCAGCACCAGCAAGAACAAGACAAATTTCATAATTTCAAGCCCACAAAAGCCAGGTGGTTCTGCAGAAAAGAAATCTCAGCAGCAAGAGTCAACTTCAGACTGATCATTTCTGGTAAGCGTTTGGTTCATTTTCATGTAAAGGAAGTACATGCCATTTAGAGCATTTCAGAGCAATGAGAGATTAAGTAAAACTCCTTCCCAGCACAATCCTAGAGCAGATTAGGCAGTTCTGATGAATATTACATACCTAGTAGACAAGGTTATCTCTACACTAAACAGCTACCTGTTATCAACTCCTATCTTCTTCAGGATCTCATAGTTGCTCTTCATTACTGGCTGTGTATGCTAACACAGAAGATAAGAGCCATCTTTTTCATACATTAGTACACAAAGGGCAAAAAAACTACCTCAACTAATATCAGAACGTTACCCTTTCAAATGCACATCTTCAAGAGAAGAGTTCACTGGTCCCAGCGTACTGCCCATCTCTCACCCAGCTCAGATACCCCCCTCCCTCCTCACCTTAACAGACAGCGCCTAAGTCACACGTCCCACCCTGCCTCCAGCTTTTCCATACCATCTCCCCCACACTCCAGGAGGATCCTGCTTCAGAAAGCAGCAGGAAGCAGTTTACCTGGTGTGATCTGGCGGGTACGCTGTTTACCAGACCCTCTGTGTCGGAGGGCGACTTCTGCGGAGCCTGCTTAACTGGTGACATCAAGCTTTCAGATGTACCACAGCTGACGAGGTGGCAGAGCAGTGTTTGCACGACAATGTTCAAGAGGCACAAACAAACAAAAGAAAGAACAAAAAACAAAAAAACGAGTGATGGCAAGATGAAAATGGCAGACTACGCCAAAGTAAAAGTGAACGTAATGAATTCTGTAATAAACACATACAATTCTCCATCTCTCCCTAGTCATTTCTCTGTCCCTTCTCCTAGTCTGACTGCTGAGCGACATGAAGCGACAACTGCTAACACTGAACAACAGCTCCTCCAAAACTCTTGCTTCCTAGATATTCTCATTCAAGCCAGCCAGTCTAAAGCTTTACAGCCCACATACCTATATGTTTTCTTCACATAGGTTTCAGACTCAGCAGTGATAAACAACAGCTATCTTCTAACTACTAGCTAAGTAGCCCCAGTTACTGAAGCAAGCATGATACCATTGCCACAGTAAAAGCAAAAACTTGCAAGAGCCACCAGCTCTCCATACCACCCAAGGTACTTGCTACTGAACACCACATTAGTTCCCTTGCTTTTCTTTGGGCAATGGTTCCAAAATAATTCTGCCCACTCATAAAAGACAGTAATCCCTGGAGTGATTACTTTAAGAGTTACAAGTCTAATGTATCCTATGTGCCCAGATACAGCTACTTGAATATCTAAATTGGCAAATCTTGTTTAAAAACTCAGAAAACTGTCTTTTGGTAAGAACTAACACCTCTAAAACAAGGTTGCTAGTTTTCACTTGATGCTTGCTTCTTCTCACTCACTTACAGCAGGATTGAAAAGAAATCAAGCCAACAATAGACAGAGAAACAAATACCACAGAAATAAGTATATGAGCCTTCAAAGTTAAGCTCAGTAGCTTCTGGGTAGTGCAGTACTGTTTTTCTAATGCTATGTCTACCTTCTGTTACCCATCCACCCAAGAAAGAAAACTGTCTGCCTCCTTGATTGCAAACACATAAGCTCCCTTTGCTACCACAACCCTCTTGGCATCCTTTCCTCACAATCTTTGTAGGAAGACAGTGTACAAAGCAAGTATAGAAACAAACAAATGAGGACTGTGACATTAAGCAGACCACCTCTTCACAGGGCAATTGTGCTTTATCCTTTGGTAAGTCTAATTATAGAAGATTTAGCTCTGCAAACATGCAGCAGTTAAAAAAAAAAAAGAAAGGAAGGGGAAGGAGAAGGAGAAGGAGAAGGAGAAGGAGAAGGAGAAGGAGAAGGAGAAGGAGAAGGAGAAGGAGAAGGAG